CACAACTTTACTGAACTCAAATCAGTTTTGCTCACCCAAGTCCTATAAAACCAAGCCATAGGCACATGGTGTGATGAAGGAAAGTACAGCTTTATCACAAAGAAAATGCAAGGCAAGTGGAGTGGGTAGCTATTGCTGAAAAGACCAGGTCTCTTTGAACTGTTCCCCACATGCCTTTTTAAGGGCAAAATTATGGGCAGAGCTTCCAGGCGTGGGATCATGTCCTGGGCATTCTTGATTATTAGTGAGGTCTTAGATAATCAAATTTCTGTTTAGGTTTCTGGAGCCATTTAGCTTGGGGTCTTTGAGCTTGCAGCCCTCAGTTTCCATACTACAAATATTGAAATGAAAACCTTATCTTTCCTTTGAGAGTTTTTAGAGGTCAAATGGCCCCTATTATTCATGGCCCCTGTTGTTTCATTATCATAACCAAAGTCTGAAGCCCTACCCCTACTCTGGGCCTTTACAATGTAAATGGACCTTGTATTCCAAGAACCTTAGAAAATACACTTTAGTTTTAAATTAACCCATATTAATTTTTAGTTTGGGAAATTCTTACTTTTTCTTTAACTGAACGGGAAACTGAGGACACATCTCTCTTAGGGGGGTCTCTGCTCGGTTTCAACTTTATATTTTGAGGTTGAGTAATATTATGCCTCCTACTTTATTCCTATTGCACAGTATTGCCTGGGTGACTTTTATGATTCTAGATAATTTTTTTTTTTTTGAGAAGTTTTCGCTATAGGGCGCATACGCTCCCCAGACAGAGACATAGAGACAGAAAGCGAGAAATCACCCCCTGGGGGGATGGTCTTGCTGCAATCCCTTCTCCTCCATTCTCCTCTAGGGATCTTGGGCACGCACGCACACGCGCCGGCTTGAGTTTTCAGCCACCGGGTCCGGAACGCGAACCGCGGTCGACTACGTGGGAGTCCAGTGAGATAGCCATTACGCTAACTGCTGTTTCCCAATTCTAGATAAATTTTATGATTGTTTACTATTTCTGTAAAGACTATCAATGTTAAGTTAATTAAAATTGCATTATATTTGTAAATTAATCTGGGGAGAATTGGCATTTTGATTATATTGATTCTAGTCCAGGAGCACAAATATCTTTCCATTTTTAAATTCCATACGTTTTTTTTACTCTCAGTTTTTCATAGTTTTCCTTGACGAGGTCTTTCACCTCTTGGGTTAGTTTTATTCCTAGGCTTTTTTTGGGGGGTTGGGGGTGGATGTTTTCATCGGGATTGCATTCTTCAATTCAGCCTCAGTCTGTTCATTGTTAGTATAGTCTCTCACTTTTAATTGGGGAATTTAATCTATTAATGTTCAACATTATTATTGGTATTTGTGGTTTTATTTTTGTCATTTTGTTAGTAATTTTTAAAGTTATTTGTAATCTTTCATTTCTCTTTATCTCCCTTTAGTTTTCCTGATGTAACATTCCCTTAAACATTCCCTGAAGAACTGATCTAGAGTTGATGAATTCTTTGTTTTTGTTTATCTGGGAATGATTTTACTACTCACTTGTTGCATATAGCATTCTTGGCTGAAAGTGCTTTTCTTCAGGGGTTAAATATGTTTTAATTCTTTCCTTGCCTGCAGTGCTTCAGTTGAGAGGTTTGAGGTTAGTCTAGTGGGATAACTTTTGTGAGTAACTCCACGTTTCTCTCTTGACAGTTTTAGAATATTGTCTCCATCATCGATTTTTATCAGTTTGGCCTTGATGTATGTACATTAGAGAGCATTTTGAATCTGTTTGGTGTTCTTTGTATTCCTTATATGGATGTCCATATGTCTTGTTTTACTTGGAAAGTTTTCATATAACATTTCATGGAATAAGTTTGGTATGCCTTTAACCCTTCTTGTTGCCTTCTGGAATACCCATATTCAGATATTAGGCTGCTTAATGGTGTCTAGACTTTCTCTTACATTGTCTTCACTTAAAATTTTTTTGCATTCTTTTTTTTTTCTCAAATAATTATTTTATCTAACTTTTATTTATTTATTTTAATTTGACCAGAGAGGGACAGTGAGGGATAGAAAGAGAAAGAAATTGAGAAAGCAAGTCACCAGGTCTAGGACTCGACCAGCAGTCAGCCATGTGGGAGTCCACTACCCTTAACCACCATACCACTTGCTGGCCCCTCTATTCTTTTTTGTAACTTGGAATAAATTGGAGGTTTTGTCTTTAAAGTCAGAGATTTTTTTCTTCTGCATGATCTAATATACTTTTTTTGGGGGGGAGAGGTTTTCGCTATAAGGGCACGTGTGCTCGCCAGACAGAGAGAGACATAGAGACAGAAAGCGAGAAATCACCCCCCCCCACCCCCCCGGGGGTGGGCTGGTCACGCCACAATCCCTTCTCCTCCATTCTCCTCTCAGGATCTTGGGGCACAAACGCACACGCGCCTGGCATGAGTTCTAAGCCACCGGATCTGGGACGCGAACCGCGGTCGACTACTTGGGAGTCCAGGGACATAGCCATTTTGCTAACTGCTGGTTCCCATGATCTAATATATTGTTAATACTTTCAAGGGATGTTTTGTTTTTCAGGGTTGCATTCTTCATTTTCAGATGTTCCTTTTAATTCTATTTTAGGGTGCCTATCTTTTTATGGAATACCTCTTTCAGGTCATGGAATGATTTTCTCACTTCTCATTAAGTTCTCAAGACATTGGGTTTTGTTATGACAAATATTCTGAATTCATTTTATTCGTTCTGTGATTTTTTTGTGTGTTATCCTTTGTTGGTGAGGAGTTACTATGTTCCTTTGAGGGAGAGATACTTCCTGGTTTTCTCATTTCTTGGGTCTCTGCTTTGAGTTTTAGGTATCTGGTGAAGTATTCACTCTGTCCTTTTTTGGGATAGGTTACTGCAGCTGTATAGTTGTGCTCTTTCCTATGGCATGTGTTAGTCATATCTCATTTCCTAGTCTGAGTGGCAGTGCTGGAATCTTTGGTGGGAGTTTTGGGGTTCAGATTTAAAGAGGAGATTTTTTTCTCTTTTTTTCTACTCTAGAGGAGGGGTTGGGAAAGAATTTTTCCATAGCTACACTATTCTTAGTTGGTTGAAACTCTTAAAGTCTCTGGTTCCAATGTGACCCAGGGCTGAGGTTTGGACGACACAATGTAAGGTAGAAGCACAGGTTGCATGCAGTGAGACAGACACTCTCCCCACCCCTCAGTTACTTTGCTTTGGTTCTGGGCAGAGGGGTCTGGTGGTCAGTGGTACACCAGCTGGTTGGAAAGCCCCTTCCTTCTTCTTTTTGATGGGGCTGTTGTGGGGCAGGGTAGTAAATAATGCTTAGGCCAGGCTGTAGACCCCTTCTACCTTCCTCCAGCTGGTCAGACAAGTGGTAGGGAAGTGAGTGGCATACTGTGAGTTTCTTCTTTGTAGGCACCAAACTTGGGGTGTGTTCTTGGGCATGTACCTGGAGATTTGAGAAACCACACATCATTCTTAACTCTAATTACTCCAGGACAAATTGTAACAGAGAAACATTATGGAGCATTTCATTTTTAGTAGGAAAATTTTGACAAAATTATTTGGAAGCTTAAGATGTGACAAGTGAAGAAATAATTATTTTTTTATTTTTTTTGGAGAGATTTTCACTGTAGGGCGCGTGCGCTCACCAGACAGACAGAGAGAGACATAGAGACAGAAAGCGAGAAATCACCCCCCAGGGGGGATGGTCACGCCGCAATCCCTTCTCCTCCATTCTCCTCTCGGGATCTTGGGTACGCACGCACACGCGCCCAGCGTGAGTTTTAAGCCACCGGGTCCGGGACACGAACCGCGGTCGACCACGTGGGAGTCCAGCGACATAGCCATTACGCTAACTGCTGGTTCCCAAGAAATAATTATTAAGTACCTATTGCGTGTTAAGTATCGTTACAAGCCCATAGACCAGTTTTTTTACTTTTAATCCTTTAGTAAGTCTATGGGGTGTTTTCAAAACTAAGAGGGGTAAGGTCCTCCTAATCTTTAGCAAAAGTACAACTGGAATTTGTAGGCAGACTCTGGAACTGTGTTCTTTCCATCATTCATATTCTCCCACAGTCTCCTGGGGTACTAAAAAAGAACCAACATTTTTCACATAATATGTTATCTTTTTCTTCAGGGAAGGAAATGTGAGAGTGAGTCCATATACATGTATGTATTGGAGATGGAGGGAAGAATTAGGAATACAATTAGAGTTAGTATGTTTGAAGTATTTTACAAGGAGAAGACAGTCAAAAAGCGGATGGTATCATGGTTAAGGCACTAGACTTCCTCATGGCTGACTGCAGTCTGAATCCTGGACCCAATGGTTTAAAACTCATGCTGGGCCTGTGTTCTTGTGTGCCCAAAATCCCGAGAAGAGAATGTAGGAGAAGGGATTGTGGTGTGACCATTACCCCTGGGATGTGATTTCTCTCTTTTTCTGTGTCTCTGTCTCTCCAGTGAGCCCACATGCTATAGCAAAAACCTCAAAAAAGAAAAAAAAAAAAAGGGCAAAAAGCAATTCATAATAGTTTAAAACTGGCAGAGATTTTGGCAGAAAGTAACTGTTTCGTATAAATAGTAGCTACTGTTACCTCTAGGAATTTATTTAATTCTCATAGAATTTGATAAAATTCTCACCAATGGAAAAGATGGGTATCATTTGTATTCTTTTACAAAGAAAAGTTTTCTTTGTATTAACAGGGACCATGGTAGTAATTTACATTTGTAAGTTTTATAAGCATTATCAGTATTTTTTCACATTATCTTATTTGTCCCGTTTTGCTTCCATTTCATAAACGGGAAGAGCAATTATGCCGTAACTAGTGGTTCTTTTAATTGCTAGAGAAGTTGTTCTTTCCAAAGAATGCTGCATTGAATATGTCTGAGATAGAAGTGAAATATATAGATTTCTATGGTGATTTAAATAGATGATACAGATATGTTACTTTAGGTAGGAAATGCATTTTAGAAGCTTTTTTTCCTTAAATATATGTATTTTTTATTTCTAGGCTGTTCGCTGCTACGAATCTCTAATCTTAAAAGCTGAAGGAAAAGTGGAGTCTGATTTCTTTTGTCAATTAGGTCACTTCAACCTCTTATTGGAAGATTATCCAAAAGGTAATTTTTCCCCTTGTCAATTTTGTTTGATTTATATGTATAAATATTTAAAGTAATTGTAACTATTTGTAGTCTATTTTTAAGGATACTACCATTTTTACTTCTAAGAAATAATGAGGTCATGGACATATTGAATGATGAGAAAGAACAGTAGATAGAAATGGAAAAATGTCATATAACTCCATGTTAAATCAATAAGTTTCCTGTTCAGTAAAACTGGTGACTAGCAACAGTACAATATGGTTTTGTTCTGCCTTATGAAAATCCCTGTCCTTTAAAGGCTCTACCATAATAGAAAGTAAGCTAGTTTGAGATCTAGCTATTTATACAATGCTGGATACGTTGGAAAGGTAATAGAAACTCAATATTTTCCTATTTTTAGCCTGGGTTTAGATTTCATTGGGTCATCAGAAAAGTCGTGATGCACTTCTGCATAGAGAAACATAGAAAAATACGACATGACTTCCAATGACCCATATTTTAGCTAGAGAAACATTTGAATGAAAATCTTATCAGTAGCCATGTTATTGTAATGGTAAATAATACAGAAATACAGAGAGATTATTACACATCAGCTGATCCTTGGACAAAATCAGTTTTTTATTTATTTAAAATTGTTTTCCTTTAAAATAAGTGAATCAACTATCTAAAGGTAGTCAGTCTCCTAAGATTAACTCTTTTCATGGTATCAAGGTCATGAATCAGACCATTTCTCACTTAGGAAGTTAAAAGCACCCCTATATACCACTCTCCTATGTGAAAGGAAAAATTCACAGCAAAGGAAAACTGTTCTTAGAATCAAGGACATTTTAACCTTTTGATTATAGTCAGTGTCTTGATGTGAAGTGGTGGATGGATGGATTCTGCTTGTTTTCAACAAATGTTTAGTGGACAGAATACCTGGCAAGTAGTTCCAGGGCCAGAGTGAAGGACTGTTGGTATTTCATGTTTTTGCTTTATTATGCCACATTTAGGTCAAGTGAACATTTTCTTAATGAAAATGTAGTTTTCGTCTGAGACAGGCATACTCTATGAAATTTGAAGTCGGGCTTATTTCCGAGCTCTCTCAGTTCTATTATTTATAGCTGTATTACCTTTAACAGATTATATAAACATCCCTGAGCGTCTGTCTTCTGATCTATAAAAGGGAGGAGGAGATGTTGGATGGTAGCTAAGGAGTTTTACAATTATTATGTGAAACTGATTAGTACTTAGCAAAATTACTTGAGCTCAACAGGATAATAGGCATTAACAATTGCTTAATACTTTATTAGATATCTTAAATTACACTTCACAATTTATTTAAAGGAAATTATATCAAAAAACATACAGAGAATTCTATGCAGTCTACTAATTAATATTAGTGCTATACCTTTACGTACTTAGAGAACAAAATACTTTGAGAGTACATAAACAGAAAGCTAGACTCATTTATAAAAAAATTGACTATGAAAGTAATGGAGAATCCAGGGACATTTGTTTTAGAGGTGTTTTTTCTTTTGGAAAGTTGGAGGCATGTGGCAAATAGACTGTTGGCAAACTGGCTGGGGGGGGGAATTAGTCCTGTGGGAGAAGAGAAAGCTAACCTAAGGATTTAAGCCTTTGGAAAGATGTGCTCTGAAATTCATTTACTGTTGTGTAGATGAACTGACCATTGATAGGTAGGTGGTAGCTTCGTTAATTCATATTAGGAGAACAAGGAAAGAAAGAATGGATGCAGAGGTATAAATATATAAATGTGTATTTTAATATTTCAAGTTGATGTCTTCTCTTTCTTAGATGTGAGTTATTTGTTTTTTAAAAAGCTTCCTTGAGTCTCTTTTTAGCCACATTCCACTTACCTTTTTTCATTTAAAATACTCATTATTGAATACTTTCTTTCTATTCTATTTATCTTTCTGCAAGTCCAAAACTAGAACCATTCTCTAATAGCACACCTCCTTCCACCAACACACTCACATCATCACCACTACCAATTTACAGAGGCATTTTTTCTTCAAGCTGCTTTCTCCTCTTCTCTTTGGAACCAGTACAAGATTAAAATAGAGAAAAAATACCAGCCACAGGCAAATAGGTTTTTATAACTTTGTACAATAAACATAAACCATGCACTGAACATACACTTCTGTGAGCAAACTTCTCAGGTATATATATTTAGGGGACTTACTGGCCTTGCTATTCTGAAGACAGTTCTTTAATTATTTTCCTTGATTCATTATCATCTTTGTATAATATCTTCTGTGCTCTGCAGTTTTTCTGAATTTAGTACCTTGTAAAAAAACTGCTTTTACTTCTACAGAAGAAAATGATAGAATTAGTTATGTATGCAAATTGTACTGTGGTTTTTCTAGCCTTACATTTGTCATTCTGATTTCACCTTCTTTCTTTCTTAAAGGACTTCCTGGAGTTTTGGCCTACAAGTGGTATACTTCGTTATCATTATTGTTATGGATTTAATTCATTTAAATTTTGTGTCATTTCAGATAAATTTGAAGCAGAAGGGAAAAGAGCTTTGGAAAATATTTTCTTAGCCTTTCTGGCTGTTAATGTGTGCAAAGTTTAATTTTCAGTCAGTTGATTTTGCTTCTAGGAATTTGGCCTAAAAAAAGTAATTGTTAGAGGATTATATGAAAGTGGAAGCTCAGAGCACTTGCTGTATTGTTGTAGGTTGGATTCCTCAGGAGGAGAATATAGTATAAATGATGCTGTATGTTTAATAAGAAATTCCTTTTAAAATCTATACCTATTGAAGGTGGAGGATAGATCCAATATTGGACAGAGGGAGAAATTAAGCTGTAACAGCCTTGGCCAACTCGATGTTGAGGTCTGGAGCTAGACTGGCCCCTTCATAGCTATACCAGGTTAGGCCAAATGGCCTGGCCTTCATACTCCAATGATTTGATATTGGATGTAAGCCAGCCTGGGAAGGTGTGTGGCTTTTGCATGGTAGTTCTCTGCAGCTCTTGTAGAAGCTCATAATAAGATACCGTCAGCAAACAGGATTCCTAACAGTTCTTCCTTGAAGTGGAATTTGAATGATCTTCACAGTGTCTATCATACTTCTTTTCTATTGGGTTGTCAGAAAAGTTATGACACATTTTTGTTTAAAATACACAGAATACTCCTGACTTTTTGGATGACCCAATACTTCTAACTCCAAGCTAACCCAGTAACCTCTGCCAAACCAAATAGCTGAAGAGGCTGTGTTACAAAATGCCTTACGCCATGAAGATGGTACAGTGATTTCTTTGGGTTCAAGGTAAACCTGAGACAGTGCCTTAAGTTGAAGGACAAGCATATATATTCAGATGAATATTTGTGATGGATCTTAGGAGCAAAGTAGTTAACAGAAGAAATATATATGGTAAATTGTAGGAGAAGAGAATCACTGAATTAAATTAGTTGCTTAGAAGACCAAGTAGCATATTGCCTTAGAGTGTACAGCAAAATTATAAAAAGATACAAGACTTAGGGAATAGATAGTAAGAATTCCAGAAGAAAAAAAAATAGTTGGAGCTAGTCATTTTTGATAATTAGTACAAAAACATTAAAATATTTAGAAAGTTATTTCTTTTTTTAAAAAGAATTATTTTATAACTATTTGTTTATTTATTTATTTATTTTAATTTGACCAAAGAGGGGCAGAATGAGAGAAAGACAAGGGGGGAGTGAGGAAGCAAGCCACAAGGTCCGGACTTGAACTGTGGTTGGCCATGTGGGGGTCCAGTGCCCTTAACCACTATACCACCTGCCAGCCCCAGAAAGTAGTTTCTTCACATTTCATGGTGAGCTAGAAGTAGTACATTTTTCTACTTTTTCCTCCTTCAAGCAATTGATCATTTTTTGGCTTGTTACTTTTGGGCAGAACAACTTTGGTTGTTTTAGTCCTAAGCAGTTACAGATAATTAGAGCAAGCTATATGCTAAGAGTTGCTAATGTTGAGAAGTTACAGCATGGTGAGCTAGCTTTCTTTTTGTCTTTCTTGGGTCAAGTCACAATACTCCATCTTGGGATATTTATAGCATAAGAACATAAAGTATGTATGTATGGTCCAATAATACATCTTGAACTTGGTGTCTCCAAAATTAATCAGTTTTTTAAATCCATTTGGTATAATCATTCTGAAATAGGTTTTAACCATTATAAAGATTTCCAAATAAATGATTTCCTTCAGTCTCTATTAATAACTTGAGAAAAATCTAGTTACAGTATAACTAGGAATCTTTTTTGTGTAGAGGTAACTTATAGGAATAAGGGGTGTGCTTTGGTTAAAACTATTTCACTATAGAAAGGCTCTGGTGATGGTTACTTTTATAACCTTTATAGAGTTTTAATGATTTATTTGGATTAGGAAACATAAAATGTATTAAAATATTTCTTAAAGTAAGGTGCCAGTCCTAATGGGAATAGAGTATAATTGTTGAAAAAATGTGTAAAAAAGTGGAAAGATAACAAAAGACCCAATTACAAATCTGTTCCTGCATGTTGGAGTATCAACATTGTGACTTTGAATTTGAGAGTTCCTGTTTATTTCTCAGTTCACCATATTGTTGTATGGATGCCATGTTTCCCCCACTATTAATCACACAGGCTTCTTGTACCCTAACCTTTGTTACTTTGCAAGATGTCATGCTATCTATTATTAATCAGATTATTGAAAACGTATCCTCCAAATTCGTTGAAATTTCATAACATCATTAAAAGGGCAATCTCCAGGTTTGATATGGTGACTGCATAAAATTGTCATGAACTTAGACTTCTATTGATTTGGATTTTTTTTTTTTTTTTTTTTTTTTTTGGAGAGGTTTTTACTATAGGACCCGTGCGCCCGCCAGACAGACAAGAGAGAGAGACAGAGATAGAAAGTGAGAAATCACCCCTGGGGGGATGGCCATGCTGCAGTCCCTTCTCCGTTTTCCTCCCGGGATCTTGGGCACGCACGCACATGCGCCTGGCGTGAGTTTTAAGCCACCGGGTCCAGGACGGGAACTGCGGTCGAC